GACCACAAATCAGGTGGTCAGCTAGTACCGATAATTAAAACTAGGATTTTATGAAGTAGAACAAGTTTTAAAGAAAAGATGACTTAGGCAGTTTAGAAGATTTAAGTTTGAGAATATTTTGAGATATCCATGTTGAGGGGACTAATGGGCACTTGGAAAGCCAATGCTAGAGATAAGAGCAATAGCCAAAATTGAGATACAAATCTGAGAATAATTAATATGCAATCCTGAGCAAGAGCGAGACTCCGTCTCTACTATAAGTAGAAAGAAATTAATTAGCCAACTAATATATATAGAAAAAATTAGCCGGGCATGGTGACGCATGCCTGTAGTCCCAGCTACTCAGGAGGCTGAGGCAGAAGGATCACTTGAGCCCAGGAGTTTGAGGTTGCTGTGAGCTAGGCTGATGCCACGGCACTCACTCTAGCCTGGGCAACAAAGTGAGACTCTGTCTCAAAAAAAAAAAAAAATGCAAGGAGATTAGATGGAGTCCAGCAGAGAAATTGTATCAGGTAAAGTGAAAATAAGAATGAGGACAGAACCCAGATGCCCATAAAACTGTTGAAAAGGGGGCATAGTCGGTTGCACAGTCCAAGAAAGAGACTGAGAAGGGCATTCTGAGAGGCAAGAATCACGTCACGAGGGAAGTTCCAAAAAGTAGAGTGCGATTGACAGTTTTAAAAGTAGTAAGGCATAAATTAATACAAAAAAGTAAATGTGGCCGTCCATGATTTGGCAATTAGGAAGTTGTTGACTGTAAAAAAAAAAAGAAAGACCATTTTAGTAGAGTGACTGACTGGGTCAGAGGTCAAATTACAAAAGGTGAACAAGTGGATAGAAAGTGATGAAATGGAACCAGAGTTATACTTCACTGCGAATCAAGGAGCAAAGAGGATGAGTAGTTACAGGCTACAAGTCTAAGAAGGGTTGTCTTAGTATTTGTTTATTCATTTTTAGGAAGAATGGAATTTGAATGTATTTTATCTGATTACACTCACCTCACTGTCGGGTGTATAAATCACATGTAAGCAGGACCCTCACAAACCCTGAAGGATGTGCAGATTTCTGTCTTGCTTGCTCCAGTTGAAACAGCCCCCTACAGGTGTAATAAATCCACCTGTGTGATTTACTTTCTCAATCCAGTGAAAAGTGACATCCTGGGTGATGCTTTATGACACCGTCGATGTACTTTCAGGGGAAGTCAGCGTGAAATGCCATTGTCTCCCAGAAATTCTGAGGGTAGCGCTGTCAGGCAGTGTGAAACCTCTCTGGGAATTTAAATGGGCACAGCTGGGACTGTTTGCATGACCCATACCACTGAGGATATTCTTGTTAATAAGCTACTAATCCATGTGTCCTTTCTTCATGCTGCTAGTTGGAGGTAGCACATGACCTTTATGCTTTTTTGTTAATTTTGCTATTTTAAGTTTCACTGCTTTCTCAAGGATGATTTCAAATAAAGCAGGGTTTTAAAAAAATTAACTTTTTTTTTTTTACCAACACTAACTTTCCTTACAAAGTGCTTTTTTATGCAGGAGGTTAATCCACACCCATCATTGTAAGCCAAAGACATTTGATACACTCTATATCCAGTGTTGTAGAATGGGGAGTAAGCATCTATTATAATTCTTTACTAATTCTTTGCAAGACCAGTTCTACAGCAGAAAACTACTTTTCTTCCCACAGGAATTTCTAATCATATGTACCTATTGTCTATACGCTTTAACTTTCTTACCTGCTATGCTGCTAAACAGACATCATCATGACATAAAGGGAATTATTTTGGGGGTGAGCGTTGCTCACTAAACTGCCAAAGTTTTTTTTCTCCTTTATTTCTGACCTTCACCCCAACTTACATTTTCTCAGCATAAATCACCCATCCTAGTGTGGGGGGAAGAATTGAGGTCAGAAAAGTAGTAAATGGCAGGTTTCTTCCTCCATAACTGTTGTTCAGCCGTTATGTGCACTACATAGTATTGCATAATTGATAACAGAGTGGCTATGAAATCCCACAGCCGTGAACAAATCTTAGCTCCACCCTTTTCTAACTGTGTGACATATATGGCAACTCACTTGACATTTCTGTTCTTTGAGCTCCTTGTCGATAAAATGGGAGTTCTGGTGGTGCCTGACAAGGTGCTGAGTTCTAAATAAGAGAGATGCAGGCAAACTGCTTGTAACATGCCTAGCATGCTTAAGCGTGCTTAGCTATGGCCACTTCTTAGAGCATAAACAAATACATTATTATACTCAGTTTTAGAATTTACTAATATTTTGCATTACTAGAAAATGAGGATGCATGATAAGAGTAAATAAGAAGCAAAATAAAAAGCATTTTATTCGGGAATGAGCAAAGCTTTTAAAGCAGAATAAATCTGGATGTGGACTTCCCTTCTGCCTCTTGGTGTTGTGTAACTAACCTTGGACAAACTGTTTAATCTCTCTGAGCCCCAGTTTCCTCAGGTATAAATAAGGAGAATGAAATCTACCTTATAGTATATTTCTTATGAAGATTACAGAATATATGTCAGAGATTTAGTATATAATACATACTTAATAAATTAAAGTTTTTTGCTATACATCTAAAGCAAAGCATGCCCATTCCTTTACCGCCTTCTTGAGTTGTTGGCAAAAAAGAAATCCTGAGAGTTTTAAGAAAAGAATGTTTGCTTTTCCTTATGACGTAAAACCGAATCTTGGAAGTTTGGTTCTCATTTGTAGCAGACACAGAATTTGAATTGGAACATCTTTAGTAGATTTTCTGCTGGATTCAGAGAGAGCCCTTATGTAATATATTTACCAATCAAGAGCAAAAATCTACAGTAAAAAAATCATAGATACATAAGATTTATTCTCAAATGTCAACATACTATTTTTAAGTGATCTGTGAGTGCCTTTTGAAAGGCTATTTACTTAATTTTGACAGGATAGAGTCCAAACATTGCAGGCAAATAAATATCATGTTTGTTTTTAAAGAACTCCACAGAAAAAGAGTTGATAATCTTCAATTATAACAATTTGTAAACTTTATTATTAAAATACTAGACTATCTTCAAAATCATTATCACCACTGAATGGGTTAGAATTTTACTTTGCTGCAAGTAACAGAAAACCCAGCTAACGGTGGCTTATTATTATTCTCACACTAAAAACTAGTTAGATGAAGGCACTGCTGTATTGGGTCAGTATTTCAGTGTTCTCAGCCTCAGGACATCTGTTCATCTTTTAGCCTTTCTCTTATCATTGCTGCCCAATGGTCAAAAGATGACTATTATAAGGACCGATATCATGTCCAAGTTCAAGACAGGAAAAAGCAGTGATTTACAATTTGCAGCTGTCTTTTCATTCATCAAGAAAATTGAGTCTTCCTAAAGGCTCCGTAAGACTTCTTGGCCGGGGCTATGTTGTATGGACACCCCACTTCACAGAAAGTGGGAGAAGTATTTAATTGTCTAGCTTCTAAATTGGAGATGCCAAAAGAAAATAGACGTGTGAATGTCTGCTCAGTTCGTGAATAATGTTTGATACACCATTATCAAGGAGCTGCCAGATCTAAAGTCTAAAGACTAAGCTAAATAGATCTCTTACCTACTGTAATCTTTACTGCCCTTAGAAAATGCCATTTTCTAATTCTTCTTTATATGCACTTGTATATTGATTGATATTAGGGCACTCAACCTTATTTCCTTAAAAAAGATAAGAATTCCATTAGTGCAAGATTCGATACCAGGTATAGAATAGTTTGTTGTTATCGTTTCTACCTGGGCTAAGAATATTGTCTTTGGTAGCAAGTCTTTATTGCGTGGAATGTGATGGTTTTGCACTACTGAATCCATAAATAAATAAATTTGCAGGCGGGAGGCAAAGCATCTGTTGTTATCATCAAATCCTTAACTTAATGGCTGTTAAATAATTTCCCAAACACTCTGGAGTCTTACATAATTTCAACATGCAATGCTTATTTTTCTTCCCCTTTCATGAAAGTCATTAGACCATTAAAACCATTGAGTGAAGTTCACTGCATCTGGGAACATTGGCCTCACATTTGCTTTGGTTGTTCTCCCACCCTGGTCTCATAGGTTGATCATTTTTGCAAAGCTAGTATACTACCTAATATTTTTAATAATGTGCCTCATATTTTAGTAGCACTGTCTCTTAATCTGTGGGGTACCACGGATGGAATAGCGTTTCTGTTCACCCTCAACTGCATACACCAAAGAATACATGGTTTGTAGCTATTGTAAAATCATTAATAAAACTAAAGGTTGGCCTGCTTTTTATTGCCAGCAATTCTAGACAATGTACCTGATAAAATCCTCTCTTGGCCAGTGCAACCCACCATGACCCCCACCACCACCACATTTAGTATGTGCCGCTTTGTAACTTTAATTTTTCCCTTTTAAATAAGTTATTGGCTTCAGGTTTTAAAGAAAAAACACTATCTGAAGTCTTTTCTATGGAAGAAAATTCAGGGTTTCTTTTCCTGGTTTTATCACCTTGATTATAATCATAGCATCACAACTTGATCGACAACAAAAGGGGAAAAGAGTGATGAACAGAATTTAAACTAAATGCAAATTGGACTTAAATATAAAACTGTAACAAAAGTCGAGAATTGGACTATTGTCTCCAGAATATTCCTGCTTTTGAGCTTTTGAAAACAATTACCTTCCCAGAAGGAAAAAATAAATAAAAACCCTAAACTCCTTACATTTATTACAATGTTTCCTATTCCAAAGTGCATATGTCAAACTCAGTATTTCTATTTCGGTTTGGGGCTATACATAGAATACAGGTAAAAGGGGCAGCGTGAGATAAACCCTTTTCATTTGAAGAATTGTATGTGATGAATTCTATTCTATAATAACGTGAAATACCAAATGTTAAGTCCTTGCTAGCATTCCAATCTTTGTTTTGCTGTTATACTGAGTTTTAAAAGAAAATGACAACGCAGACTGAGATAAGTTTCTCGAATTCACTGTCACCCTTTCTTTTTCTAGGCATTTTTGGACAGAAACTGGAAGACACTGTCCGCTACGAGAAGAGATATGGGAACCGTCTGGCCCCGATGCTGGTGGAGCAGTGTGTGGACTTTATCCGACAAAGGGGGCTGAAAGAAGAGGGTCTCTTTCGACTGCCAGGCCAGGCTAATCTTGTTAAGGAGCTCCAGGATGCCTTTGACTGCGGAGAGAAGCCATCATTTGACAGGTAGATGTCATTTTGTTGTTTGACAGGTGGATGTCAACATTTTGTTAACCATCTTCATTAAGAAATTGACCTGAAAGGATGCCATGAGGTGAGATGGCATAGCCTTGATTGCTATGGTAACAGTTTGGAACGTGGATTATTTGGCCACATGAGTTTGGATTGTTTTTATTAAGTTGCAAAGTCAAAAACTTGGCACTTTATATCTCTCTCTTCCATACTTTTTTCTTTATCTGAAAACATTCTTATTTGTTCTTTTCCCTTGGTACTAAATTAAAACTGTATTAAACTTTTGCATTGAAAAAAAGTGAACTTGTAATATAGGAATCTTCTCTTGTTTGATGTTTTCGTAAATTCTTTCAGTTGAGGTATATTAAAAGTATTGGTAAATAGGAATTGGGATATTAACAATGTCATTAAAAATAATTATTTTTAATAATAGTAGAAGCATTCTATTTTAAAATACATAGCTCCACCTTAATCTAGAAGAGATTTTCAAGGAAACAAGGAGAAGTACAGAGTGGTGAAATTCAAAAATTAGTGGAAGCTTAAGAGAAGAAAATATAAAAGGTTAATATCTCCACTAATTAAGAGTTAATCGCAGTTAATATTTTGTCAATTGCCTCCTTCTCTGTTGCTGGCAAGTTGTGTTTAGGTAGGCACCCTGGCAATAAGAGCACAACTTTTTATAGTCTTTCTAAAGCAGTTTGGTAATATATTTCAGGAGCCTTTAAGCAGGACATTCTAGCCCTAGAAAAAAATCAGATATATGGAGAAAAACTTAAGCATTATTATAATTTTTATAATAGTAAAAAATAAATATCAATCTATTATCTCCAACAGTGAGTATGGGTAATTAAACAATGATACATTTATATAACAAAATATTATAGTTCTTAAAACTTTGGAAAAATTCTAATTATATAATGATAAATAGACAAATAAGACAGGATCAATTAATTGATTAAAACTATGCCTTTTTACAAAAAGTATTACAAACAGTTTATAAGGATCAGTAGATTTTCTCTGGGAGAAAAAAATAAATAAATGTGGAGGTAAAGAAATGAATTCAAAACTAGGGTCAGAGAATAAATTTCAAGACTGCAGATACACTTTTTCAAGGGAGCCGTAAGTATATCTTATGGATAAGTGTATTTTATCTTATAGCGTGAAAAAAAAAAACCTGGTAAATAGTTCGTTAGTTCAGACCTATCTACAACATATGAACAATTATTTATCTAGAAGAAATGAAAACTTTTAGTACCAAAATTAGAAAGAAATTTATCAGTAGGATCCTCCTAATAGAATTTTGTGTATTGGCATAAACAGCATCCTCTATAATAAACTTCATGAGATGATAATAAGTTTCAATGCCCTTTTAAAATATTTATATATAGCCTAAATATACACAGATGACATTATAACAAAGCATATTTATTAAATTTATTTTTACATAGGCATTTATGATTTGGTTCTTATGTTTTTGCTAATATAGTTCAATGGACAGATGTTTTATATATTTAAGATACCTGTAAGAACAAACGTGTCCTGTAAGCAGTCATCTCCAAATCAAGTTAATGACTATTGACTGACAATGAAATACTGCCCAACCTTTGTATAAATGTGATCCTACTTATCCCATTTATAAAATGTATGTATTTTTGGTGTGAAATGCATCAATGCAGAAACAACTGAAGAAAACGTAACGAAAGATTTCTGTTGCCAAAAGACTCTGTGAGTTGCTGCATCTTAAAAAGGAGTGTTCTGGTCACACCTATTATTTAGTTTTTACCTTGAACTCATATTTTACTGGTAGCACCCTGGATTTTACCTTTTTTTCATGGCCATTTCTCACCAGTTAGAAATATTGTCCTAGAGCCATTATAGTTTTTCTAAATTCTTCTCCAAAATGGAACAGTTCTTTCTTTGGTTTATCTGTCCTTTGTACTACCTTAGTCTATACAAATAAAAGATGCCATTAGTACAGTCAGCATTTGGCCTGAAAACCTCCTGAGCTAGGGCCACAAGTTCATCAGGAATGTTTTCTGTGTTCCAAGTTACTGCAATCGATAGTCGTGTTAATTTTGTCCAGCACTGTTTAATAAGCATTTACCTTTCCCCAGCCTCTAATAGCAATGTTTTCACTGTTCTCCCAGCTCTCACTCATGGCTTCCTCATTGATGGTGTGGGCTCTGCCTAGTTCCAACACCAATCCCATGTGTTTAGGTTTTTATTGCAGCAGCACCTGATTTCTGGTACCAGTGACTGTTTCGGGTATCTATTGCTGCATCGCAAACCACTCCATACCTTTGTAGTTTAAAACGACAACAGCTGTTTCAGATTCTGCATCTGGTCAGCGCTCGGCAGAGAGGTCGTACCTCTGTCCACGTGGTGTTGGTTGCAGCAAGTTAGTGACCTGCGGTATCCGAGGGAGCTTTGCTCCCGACTCTGGTGCCTAAGCTGGGCTGGCTGGAATAGCTGACGGCTGAGTGAGCCTCTCACCTTCTCTTTGCGGTCTTGTATCCTTCAGGACTTCTCCCTTGAGCCAATTGTGGAAACTCTTTACACGGTGGCTCACAGCTCAAAGACGGCAAGAGTGGCAGCTACAAGAGATATTAGGGGGATATTAGGCTCAACGCTGCCATAATGTCACAGCCAGTGAAATCTCTTGGTCAAAGGCAAATCACACGGTCAGCTCGGATTAAAAGGGATAGAAAATGTACTCCGTTTCTTGAAAGAAGCAGCGGCATGGATGAGTAGTGATGGGAGAAATTATTGACAACCACCTTTGGAGACAATCTACCTCGTTCATTCATTCAGCAAATGATTTTGGCGAGTTTCCTAAGTCTAAGACGCTGCTCCAGGGGATTTGCATTCCCAGTGCTGGGCAGGTAAACAGTAAACAGTGAAGATTTAAATAATCTCCAAGAGTGATGAGGGTGACCTGCTAACACTAATATGTTAGTGCATGAAGTCAGGGGGTCACACATTTGCTTCCTGAAGACGTACATTTAAGCATAGGCTTCATGGAGATGAAGGGGCAGAGGTTGATTCTGCAAGACTCAGTAGATTATAGTGAGAAAGTTAGTTCTTACTCTAAGTGAAATGGAAATCCATTGAAAGATTTTTAGCAGGTAAATGAGTTAATTTTATTTACATGTTAGGAGGAAAAAAGGTCATTCTGGCAAACTGAATATCCTCCTTTTTTTAATTTCAGCATATTATGGGGTAATGTTAAGGTATGTATACTTGCTCTTGCCTGCCACCCTCACTCAGAGTTCAGCGTGCCCATCCCCGAACGGCGCATCGCACTCATTGTATGTATCTCACTCCTCCTCCTCCCACCGCCCGACACCCCAAAATAAATGTTATCCATATGTCCACTCTAGGTGCTGATCATTAATAAACCAAAATTTGCTGTGGAGTAAACATGTGGCTTGTTTTTCCAATTCTGGAAATATTTCAACTTAAGTAGAAAAATGGGGTTCCAGTTCTAATCCAGGAAAAACAACAAAAGAGTGCTAGAATCACCATTGTTTCTTAAAAAGCTGAGTAGTAATCCAAAATGGTGTAAATAACCACAAAATTTTAAAATTAATCCACTCATGTCATCGATGGGCACTCAGGGTTGTATTGCCCACAAACTTTGCAAATTGGTGAATTGTTCTGCTATAAGACCAACAAATTCGAGCGTAGGCAGGTGCTTTTTTGTAAGAAGTATCATTTGTCTATTTGGGTAGATGCCAAGTAGTGGGAAAAAATTGCAGGAATCAAATGGTAGAAATCTACTTGTATCACCTTTAAGGTAATCTCCAATGTTGCCTTTCCACAAGAGGTTGCACTAAAAAGTGTGCAGTCCACCCAGGCCATTGTAAGGCGAGTAATTCTAAAAATCTCTCAGCAATCCATGCCAACATTGTTTGGAACTGTTTTGGCCAAAAAGGCCAATTCTTACTGGAGATAGGTGATATTCAATTGGCCATTGTTGATTTGCATTCCGCTGATGATTAGAGATGTGAACATTTTTTCAAAATATGTTTAATGGCCATCCTATTGTGCTTTTATTGAAAAGCTTTCTCGTTGCATAGTCCTTGCCACTTTTTGATAGGGTTGTTGATTTTTCTTGCTGATTTCAGTGGAGTCTAAAAAAATAGATTCTAACGATTACTCAGGGCCTTTATTGGATATAATAAGATCCCTCGCGCGACCAAAATTTCTCCCCATTCTGTAGTTGTACTGATTTGCTCCTCGTGACTGTTTCTTTGGCTGTGCAGAAAAAAGCTTTTTAGTTTGAGGGCAGCGTCTGAAATTTATTTATTTTGTGTTGCTGTGATTGCCTTTGGGGTCTTCTTCAATAATATCCTTTGGCCTAAGGCCAATGTGCTAGAAGAAGTATTTGCCAAAATGTTTATCCTCTAGAATTCTAAAATAGTTTACCTACCTTAAAAAGTCTGTTATCGCAGCGTCGAAGTTGATTTTGTGGAGGTGAAAAAAGTGTGGAATCCTGCTTCGTCTACTTAAAAACAATGTGGGCTAACTGCCCAGTTTTGCCAGCACCATAAAAAAAAACTGCAGAACAAAAACATACCCACTCGAGGGGAAAATATCCATCCCTTTGATAAATAAATTGTCAAGCTAGGGTCCCTCCGTCTCAAGGAGGCAGAATAATGCAAAATCTCTTCTAAAAAGAAAGAGAAGTAACCCTAATTTGTGGAAAAAATGTAAAATGTGGTGCCATAAACACGCCGGTAGAAGAAAAAAGAAAAATCGATCATTTTCCACAAAGGCATGATAGAATCCAATTTTCAGAAAAAAAACCTAATGCAAGTACAAGGTGTTCTGACCTCCAACTCTCTTTAGCTAAATTGGCTGAGCTCGATATTTTGCATGGTCAAAACCCCTAAGCTGCAGGTTTCCAGTCTTTAGATGGGCGGAGAGCAAAGCTACCTGGGGAAATAATTCATTAAGTTCAAGTTTGTCTCACCAAAATGTTCACCAAGCAA